AGCTCTAACAACAAATTATGCGATTGCTGGTTTCTACTTCAAACAAATACTCTCTCAATTCAGTGAAAGCTAATAGGCTCTTGTGTAAATGGTGACTTTTGCTGAGCAAGTGTCAAAATCTGGCAGAGGATGAAGGTACAGATTGCAATACATACCCTAGTAAAGCCAATGCTAATTTGAAATATTTGTAAAATAAATCAGAACTATTATATAAAGGATGTTCTTTCAAGGTCATGTGAACATTGAAAAAGCCCGACAGGCTAGGAGATATGTTTTCATTTACAAAATTATGATGTCAATTCCAAAACCCCCAGCCCACCAAGATTTTTCTTCATGACGCCGGCAGCAATCTAAGAAGCGCTTTTACAAAGAGGAAATAACGTCCTTGAGGCAAGCGGTTAACGTATTTTCCCTGTAAGCCTTTTGCAGAGCCCTCTCCTGCGCTATGCTCCCTGTATGCTGTTGGGCTCTCCCACGCCTTGTTTACCTAAGTGGAGAGCTGCCAGCCCCATCACAGCTGTGTTTGCTGGATTGGAACAGACACTGTTCTGTGTGCGCTGAAGATAAGAGGTTGCAACAGTCAAGCCATGATTGCGCATCTCAGCCACAAAATATGTTTTTAATAATTACTGTGAATCAACTAAAACAACAGCTCATATCTTCTTCTCAATAGCCACTTATTTAAAAGGCACTCTTAATTTAGTGCATTTTCATTTTGCTTCACGTGTTTTGAGAATCTTTGTTCCAGCAATTTTACAAAACCCTTTTTTCCTCTTCAGCAACAAAGCGTAAGCTGTAAATTGTCCCATATCACGATTTTCTTTCAAAGCTCAAACAAAGGACTGTTCTTGCCCTTCTCTTATTAGGTCCACGTAAATCAAAGCCTGGTAAAGGGCAACCGTGGTAATCTGAGAAAACAGCCTACACTAGCTACACAATTGGATCATTGCATGTCATGCTTCCTATTAGTCACAGATGGAGCAAAACTTTTGACAAAGTTTACAAAGAAGTTCAGAGAAGAGCCTTGACGCACTGCATCATGAATAAACTCAAGAAGCCTATTAATCTAAGGCTATATCCTGCAGCTGTTGATAGAGCACTGCCTGAATTTCTTTCTCCCCTCTTCTTGTTTTTACAGCTAGTGTCCTTCTACTGCATTTGTATTCGTGACCTGAGCTGAGCCTTTGTGTTATGACAGCACGATGATGGCTACAGCTATCCCCATGTCTGCCCAGACGGGCTCAGGCCTCTCTCAGACATCTCCAGCCCCATTTCTAAATGCACGCCCATTTAATTCTGCATTCGCAAGCGAGGGTGAAAGGGAGAACTGAAGACGAGAGGCTACACCTCCCTCCTGTCCACACTGCATGTGCTTGGCTGATGTAAATTGGCAATAGCACCACTAAAGTCAGGACAGCTATGCCAGTTTTTTCTTACGTAAAAATGCCCCCCCAGTGTGTGTAACTTAGCTTGTGCCCACATAGGGACTTTCCTCACAGTTGCACTGCTGAGCAATGACCTTGTTACTGATAGGAAAATGATGACCCTTGCGGCCCAGTCATAGTTCTATAGGCGAGGAGAAATACGTTGTCAGAAGGCAAGGCATCTAGTTAATTAATGTGTAATTAACTGGTGCAATTAATTAAGGTGCAATGTTTGCTTCACAATTATTAGCTGGTGGAACTGCCAATGACACAAACCAAACCCATCTGCTGCTCAGTCTTCCTGTGTGCACTACAGAAAACCCAGTTAGTGCAGAAAAAGATAAACAATAAAATAAAATGCTTTACAATCTTCAAGAAGTCATTAAAATATATGACTTAAAATGACATTTTGTATTTTAAAGACATATAGTTTCTATTGTTTGCAATGATAAACTGATATGCTTTTATGTCAGCACTGCGTCCAAGCAGAGAGAAAGCGCATCTGTCATTCAGGATGCGGCATACAGACCTGCACAACCCATGTGTGCATTACACGATCAGATGGGATCACAGCACATGTCACTAGACACAATATGGCAATGAGACAATATGATTGTGCTTAAAAGTGCATCATCTGAACATACTGAACCACAGTACCATGGGATCTGAACATAGCAATTGCTATCCACAATAAGCAAAATGCCACACTTAGTGTCACAGTCAGATACAGGAGGCCACATATGCTGCTACCAAGTAATTAGCATGCGGACCAGTAGAGTTCCTGATATTTTGGGAAAACTGCCTAACACTGCACAGTATCTGTCATAAGGCAATTTATCCTGCCCTGGAAGAATTAACCCAAGAAGCCTAGTGAAGACAGAGTGCTCAGTGTTTCCATTAATTTGTCCATTTGCAGATTTTGCAGTGCTTCTACGACAAGTCATACAATGCTAGCAAGAAAACAGCTGGGGGAAAACCTAAAGGAAGCAGGCAAATGAGCTGGTGCAGTACTTCAAACAAGTTACCTGCCATTCATAAGGGAATGCAAAAGGCTAGGAGAGAAATGAAAAAAATGCAAAGTATAAAATCAAAGCCATAAAGTGATATTTTGAAGGAACAAAATTGAAGGCAGCAAAATATAAGAAAACCACTGAAGCACATTTGCATTTAAACCCAGAACGCTAAAGTGCAAAAATATCTATTTTAAATTTTAATTAAAGTTACTCTTTATATCTAAAAGGTTGTCTACACAGAAAAGTGATACTAAGTTAAGGCAGAATTTGCACTTCAACTGATAAGAGTAATACCACTATAGCTCCCTACCTCAATGCCTTCATTATCAGTATTCAGTTTATCCTGAAGTACTCTGGAGGAGGACTTAAGCTAAGCTAGAAAAAGCCACCCTAATTTTGGAATTAAAATAACTGCATTGGGACTTAATTTGCTATGCCAGTCTAACTATCCCAGTTAATTATAATGGTCAAACTTGTTCAAGAAAAGTAACGAGTCCTACAGTAATACAATCACCCTACAACCCATTAATGCCAGAAGCAATATTGTTGTCTGTCTTTGTTTATGGAGAGGACAGTACTGGTCTGATAGATAGGCATGTTTTGTGCACCACACCAATAGCTATCTTTATAACTTGATGGCATATTAGAATTAAAGCTGACATTTTTAATATCTTCTTGTTGCCTTTCACTATTTGGAAACTGCACATTAGGAAAGGATGCACATCTATCTCAGTTAATGCGAGTTGGGGACTTCTTAACGTCACTGCTGATTTATTACTATCACTTTAAGACTAACATTGTGCTTGGCAGTACAGAAAGCAAAAATTAAGACTTTCTGCCACGAAGAATGCAGAGTGTAACAGGCAGATACAAAGCACAGGGGAGACAGGGGAAGCAGTAAGCGGGACAAGTAATTTTCTAAAAACCACAGCTTCTAGACCAGTGCTTGTTTTGGTGCCTACTTTTCCATCTGCATGGAGCTACTGAATTTGCCTACATACTTCAAAACTAAATAAGCTCTCTGCTACAGATAAACCCAAATATGACATTTAAACTGTAAGATGTGGCTATCCCCATGTCTGCCCAGACGGGCTCAGGTCTCCCTCTGACATCTCCAGCCCCCTTTCTAAAGGCATGCCCACATGCCACTGTGGATGCTAAGAGAATAACACAGTAACTAACTGTACTTTGCACTTGCACAACTTTTCATCAGTCACTCTCAAAACGCAGATGGCAACAAGCAAATGTCGTAACGCCACTCCACAGACAGACACTGAGGCAGGGAGCAGTGAGAGGCCACGGCCAAGGAAGGAGCGTGAGTGGAGCTCGAGAGGTTTTCTTAACCCAGGCCCGTTGTTTGAGAGGTAGCCCATGGTTCACTGCTAGGACAGCCCTGAAAAAATGGCCAAGTTTCTCTTTTTATAAAGTGGCTAGAATGCAAGAAATTGTCAAATTAAGTTGTCAAGCCTCAAGTCCACTACTGCCCCTGCAGGAGAGATCATGGTGATCTGGGGAGCTTAATGGGGGGTGCAGGGGGAGCCAGGAAACCTGTCTTCAGAAACAGTTCTTCACTGAATAACTGCCTGTAAACTTAGAAAAAAACAAAATCATTCAAGAACATTGACTTCTTTTCTGAACACAGCCAAAGAAACCTATTTTTAGATGGGAACCCTTCTGAGGCATTTATATATTGCCATACGCGGACTGATATTTTCCAGATAATGTTCAAGTTAAAAGTTAACAGAGATCCCAGAACTAGAACCAAGCAAAGGCAAACACATAGCCCACAAAGCTGGTTAAACTCTCCTGCCTCTTGTTTAGGCATAGGTAATTGGGGCTCTTGGTAGTGTGGGGAAGGAAAGTGTCCCCAAGGGGGAGGACAGCTGGAACAGAATTTTTTTTTTCTTTTCTTTTCCTTTGGGCAATCCACAACTTTCATTTGCAACATATTGGGTGAAAAAGAACAACGGACAATTTTAAGCATGTGCAGGCAGAACGCAAGCTCCTAGAGAGCTTAGCGCTACAAGTGTACGCACTGGGCTTAGTGCTCTCTCAGCATTTGCTTCTCCAAACCTTTTTGAGCCAACTGCAGCACTGACACGCTAGAAGCATGACATGATGCCATTAGCTCCTACAAGTGAGTGATAAACCAGGGCAGAAGGGGTTAATCTGTGCTTTTAGTACTTCATCTCTGGAGTACCCTCCCCCCCTCCCCCCATCTCCTCCCAAAAGTTCTACACTTCTGGTAAAACAATTTAAGGATCTGTCTGCGCTTGTCATCCTGGAACAACATATGTTACTATAGGCAGATTAACTGTTTATGGCCACCACAGCAGAAAAGGCAGAACACAGCAGAGACTCAAGGAATATTTGTGCTTTTCTGTTTAACATACAATTGCTCCATCAATGCAAAACCTCACAGGGGTCATTTAAACAGGCTGGAAAAGATTTTAAAGCTGGATTACTTCTGTGTGATATAAATGTTTTCCCTCTGCAAATTGCTCAGACATATTCTGGGAAACCAAAACTGTCACAGAAATTGAGCAGAATAAACAAAGTAAAATGATTTGGAAAATATATTTTATTCATAAAATGTCTAAACATTGATGCACAGACAAAATATCTTGGAGTTAGATAATCTAGTCCCTGAATACAAAACTCAGAGTATTTTTTTTCTTCCTTGAATACTGAAAACTAAAATAATTACAGAAAAATAAGATGCCCAGGAAGGGTGCTGAGAGGCCTCAGCTACCTGTCTTTGGATACCTCATAGCTCACAGAAGGTGCTCAAAACTTTGCAGGGAATGTCAGTTCCTACATTACAATGATTTCATCACCAAGTGAGTAAGGGGCATGTTAAGTTTCCAGAAAATTCAGGAATTTTGGAAGAACTCCTCTACCAAGAATATTCTCCTCAAAATCAGTTATTTTCATACAGCTCTTTTCCACTAAGGTACCATCTTTTTGTTTTAGGAGATTAAAGATGGACTTTGAAAAAGCTAGACTACATAAACAAGTTCTCCTTTTTTCTTTTTGGAGTTCATTTTCTATACATTTTGAGAACACAGGAACTGGCACATGATTATCCGACACAGGTCGGATAAACTAGTCCAGTACCTGACTCTGATGTGTCAATATCAGCCACTTACTTACAGAAAAGTGCAGACACAAAACAATCTACCTCCTACATGAGATCTTTGAATTTTGCCTATACGGCTGATTTAATCCCTGAAACACCAGGTCTATTGATTTTTCCAAAATTTACTAGCAAAACTTTTACAATAGGGTTCACGTTTGTTGAACTACGTAAAATACACCAGTGCTCTTGAACCTTTCTACATTTATGGCCTGTACAACGCTACAGACTTGTGGATGCACCATAAAGAGCACCTCTCAAAGTTTCACAAGGGGAGCAAGTTTCACACTCATGTAAAAACAAGAGCTCAGCCAAACAGCAGCAAGTATTTCCCCTGTGGCTCAAGTTATAGACTTTGTCAAGACAGAGCTTAGAGCAGCTCCTGAATGGACAGTGATGTCTGTGCGGACAGAAATAATTCATTTCTCTCCTTCTGCTTAGCCCTTGCACATACACCATTCTGTCCTCCTCAGCTAAGGGAGGAGAAAGTTTTTGCTGTCAACTAACAAGTGATCAGTTCACTCCAAAACTGAAAATAGTAACAGATTCTCTTTTTTCACGAAAGTGTGTTATCATTCCCATGAAAGGCAGATAAGCATCCACATCAGAGAAGCACAATTTAGGGAAGCTGTACTAACTTGCTACAAGTATCTTCTGTCTCCAGCAAAGAGATCCAGCAAGAAGATGTTCTGTCTTCTGTTTCTGCAAAGCCACCCTTCATATACATACTCTTTTTTGAAGTTCCATCAAAATTATTCCAAGTAACCATGAAAACTTGATTCTCTAAAACATTATAAATTTCACCAAATTCTGTACAAAATGCAGGAATACGGACACTGTCTTCCTTCTCTCTCAAGAGGGGAGACAGGCCTTAATGTGGAAACAACATACATGATAACTCTATAATTGTAACAAAACCAGATATTTTTATTTTAAAGCTGGACCTCTAACTTCACCAGACCAAAAAAGTACAGAGCTGACTTTAGCATCCACAACATAAAATATTTCAGGACCTCTCTTTGTTACCAGTTGTTCATCTTCCTTAGGACATATAAGTGGCTACCAACCACTGTGCCATAAAGGTAATATTGGGTAAATAGATTAATTCTCCTTTGGCAATGAAGAGATCATAGTAACAGTCATCCCAGCTTTCTAACGTGTCAGATAAGTCACTCCCAGAATGACATCTAGAATGACATGTACTCCCTGTCTTGGGTTTTATAATTCTGAAACACAACCAGACGTGAAGATACACCCTGCATCCCCAAATTTTGTTTTGTATCGCCTGCCCATTCTTTTCTAGAAAGCACAGCACTGGAAAGCAGCTGTACGTTTTTGCTGAAGATGAATTTGAGAATAGTTTTCAACATATATATCTGGATTCTTCACATCTTCAAAAAGGCAACCTGTTCAAGGAAGTAAAAACAAAACTGTGGTTAGTCTCAGCGCTGCAGATAAAACAACGATATTTCATTCAATTCTTTGAAAGTGTATACTAGAATCATCTTTTCACTTAAAGAAAAAAAAGGATCATACACTAATGCAAAGTTGTTCAGTACTGTACCGAAAGAGCAGACACTATATTTGAAAGCAGCTTTACTTTCCTATTACTCTTCTACCTAGTAAGTATCTCCCCTAAAAGTTCCCAAATTCACTCTTCCTGATCATGCACTGCACTTATTGCTGAACTTGGTCAAGGGTAGAAGTTTTCACATTTTAAACAAGAAAGATTACAAAAACTCTCTGGTCTGTACTACTCTAAAGGAAATTCAAGTATAAACATTTTTCTGCTTGCACGTCAAAAACTTTTCTGTCTCTCAGAGTAACAAAGCACAAGGTATTCATCTTGTCTATGTTAAAAGGCTATCTGCCAGTATTCTGAAACTACCTTAGACTAAATCTCCAATACCTTCGCGGTTTTGCCCAAACTATTAGCTTGTTTGAACACTGTTGCTGCTAGTTGCTATGAGTGAAATCCTGATTTTAAAGTAAATGAAAAAAAATGCCTTTGATTTTGAAGCAACCAGGAACCAATCCAAAACTTTGGGGGAGAAGAGATGAACAATAGTACATGATTCATAAGACAGCAAATGATCTACCTTCTTCTCTATCTTTATATAGAAAAAAATTCTACCCAGCGTGACCATGGGGGAGAAGAGATGAACAATAGTGCATGATTCACAAGACAGCAAATGATCTACCTTCTTCTCTCTAGTGCATCAAGTGGACTCTCGGGACTAACAGCTATTTAGACAGAAGATAACCTACCAAATACAAAAAGCCTAAGGATTTCTGGTGTCCTAACTCATTTGTTCTTGTTCGCAAGCATGCAGCAGCTTCCCCTCCATGGTTTTGTTTTTGTTTAGCCTTCTTCAGAACTGGCAGTGTCCTAACTCAGAAAGGTAAGTTAATCGACCGGAAACACAATCACATACCAAAATTTTTATATGCCAAGGAGAATGCTTCAGATACTGAATTGGGAGTAAGCATTACACCTTGCTAATCACAAAGGCAGAAGACAAGATGGACAGATGTCACCACAGAAGGACAGAAGAAAGACTACCAGGCTACACTAACAGTGTGCTGAAAATGGAATCTGTTTCTCCTTCCCCCTAAAAACGTGCAAGAAAAAAAAAACATGATACACACACTTCTCTTTTTTTCTCTCCATGTTCCTTTGAATTGCAATGGACCAACCACTTCAGTTAAGATTCAAATTATTATCAGTATCACTTTGGATTTTTACAGAAGACCCTCAATCACCAGTCTGCTTGATATTCTAATTAAAGAATGCACGAAGCACGATCAACCAGAAAGAACTGAATTAAAGCATAAAACATCACGAAGTGTTCAGAACAGAGGGCAAAAAAGGAGATAAAATAACATCTGTGTTGGATCCTTTGGCCAAAGACCGTTTGAGGGGGAGCTGTATGATCCTGTAGAGGATGCAAAGAATTAAACAAGTTTAAAATATCTAAGAGATTTCTCAGAAAATTACTCATACAAAGAATCCATGTCTAAACCTGACTACAAGGCACGAATGGGATGTGACCATAGCAATTCTTGGCTAAAAAGGAAAGGACTGGAAAACAATCAAGTCATCTCACTTGCTTAGTATCTCCTTACCCATTCCAATAATAACAGCAGTAACCTATTAGAAAGCTGCAGCATTACTACATAGAAGAGCTTCTACAGATAGCAAAGCTGAGATCCATGAAAGCTTCTGCTCCTGTTCCTGCTCCACACTGAAGCTAAAACTCCGAAATAAGAATTTTCACACAGACCATATTTCCAGGAAGGTCTGTAGATGAAGCCAGCCAGCAAACAACCAGCTGGTCAGCCTTGGAATCTGTCTGCTTTCCCTTAAAAATCTCATCACATTGACCAATTCCTACTAAGTGCTTTGATTCAGCTTAATCAGCATTTTCCAACAGAAATCAAAATCATTTCTGTCAACTCAGCTAAGGGGTTCAAAGGCTAACAACTACTTACAGTGTAGGG